TAATTCCCATACATATTATGCTACTCCTATTAAAACTAAATTAGGGGTCTCGAAGGGTTACTCTGGCGGGCACAAAGGTGACTGGTGGTAGAATAAAGTGGTCCAAAGTAAAGTAGAAGCGAAGAAGGCGGCGTACCTGAAGTTAGTAGGGAGCTCAGGCGAGGAGGAGAGGAGAGCGAACAGAGAAAGATATAAGGTAGCTAGGAAGGAGGCGAAGTTGGTAGTCATAGAGGCTAAGATTGCATCATTTGGTCGTATGTACGAAGAATTGGTGACAATGGCGGGGATAAGAAGTTGTTCCGGCTGGCCAAGGCGAGAGAGAGGAAGGCTCGAGATCTAGACCAAGTGAGGTGCATCAGAGAGAAGGACGGTAGAATATTGATAGGAGAGGCACAGATTAAGCGGAGATGGCATACTTACTTTCATAAACTCCTAAATGAAAAGGGGGTCAGGGATATTGTGCTAGGTGAATTGGTTCATTCCGAGAGTCACCGAGATTTTGGGTATTGTAGACGCATTAAGGTTGAGGAGGTCGTAGGGGGCTATGCGAAAGATGAGTAGCGGTAGAGCAACCGGGCCAGACGAAATTCCGATAGAATTTTGGATGAGTGTGGATAGAGCATGCTTGGAGTGGTTGAATGGGTTGTTTAATGTAATTTTTGGGATGAAGAGGATGTCGGACGAGTGGAGGTGGAGTACGGTGGTACCGTTATACAAGAACAAAGGCAACATCCAGAGTTGTAACAATTATAGGGGTATCAAGCTGCTAAGTCATTCCATAAAAGTTTGGGAGAGGGTGGTGAAAGTAAGGGTGAGGAGAACGATGTCTATATCCGATAACCAGTTTGGGTTCATGCCGGGTCGGTCGACTACAGAAGCTATCCACCTTATTAGGAGGTTAGTGGAATAGTACAAGGATAGGAAGAAAGATTTGCACATGGTGTTTATTGACCTGGGGAAAGCATATGACAATGTGCCTAGGGAGGTTCTTTGGAGATGCCTGGAGGCTAAAGCTGTGTCGGTCGCTTACATTAGGGTGATTAAGGACATGTATGATGGAGCTAAGACTCGGGTTAGGACAGTGAAAGGCGACTCTGAGCATTTTTTGGTTGTTATGGGGCTGCACCAAAGATCTGCGCTTATACCGTTCTTATTTGCCATGGTGATGGATGCATTGACGTACCATATTCAAGGGGAGGTGCCATGGTGTATGTTATTCGTTGACGACATAGTTCTGATTGATGAGACGTGAGGCAGCATTAACGAGGGACTGGAGGTTTGGAGATAGGCCCTTGAGTCTAAGGGTTTCAAGCTAAGCAGGACTAAGACAGAATACCTGGAGTGCAAGTTCAGCACCAAGTCGAGGGAAGCGGGCGTGGACGTGAGGCTAGAATCACAGGTCATCCCCAAGAGAGGCAGTTTCAAGTACCTAGGGTCAGTTATCCGGGGGGATGGGGAGATCGACGAGGATGTCGCACACCGTATAGGTGTAGGGTGGATAAAATGAAGGTTAGCATCTGGAGGTAAGTTTTATAAAGCGGTAGTTAGACCAGCCATGTTATATGGGGCAGAGTGTTGGCCAGTTAAGAACTCACATATCCAGAAGATGAAAGTAGTAGAAATGAGGATGTTGAGGTGGATGTGCGGACACACTATGATGGATAAGATTAGGAATGTAGTTATTCAGGAGAAGATGGGCGTGACTCCTATAGATGACAAGATGCGGGAAGCGAGGCTCAGATGGTTCGGGCACGTACGGAAGAGAAGCCCAGATGCCCCGATAAGGAGGTATGAGCGGTTAGATTTGGCGGGTACGAGAAGAGGTAGAGGGCAGCCTAAGAAGTATTGGGGAGAGGTGATTAGGCAGGACATATCATGACTCCAACCTTCCGAGGACATGGCCCTTGATAGGAAGATGTGGAGGTCGAGCATTAGGGTTGTAGGTTAGGAGATAGTTGAGCAATTTCTACTTCGTACCGGGTGTGAGGCTAGACTGATAGGGTTTCGTCTTAGATTACTAGTGGTTAATATTATGTTCACACTATTCTTCCATTTTTCATAGTATAAGGCCTTATTTACTTGTTATTGTTATTGCTTTACATCTATTTTCTAGTTCTTATGTCGCTATTAATATTTCTATATTTTCTGTTGATGGTATTGATGTATTTGACTCCTTTCGTCTTCTTGAGCCGGGGGTCTTTGGGAAACAGCCTCTCTACTCCATCGGGGTAGGGGTAAGGTCTGCGTACTTACTACCCTCCCCAGACCCCACTTGTGAGATTTTACTGAGTTGTTGTTGTTGTATTCACTAGCAAGACACAAAGTATTGTAGCGATTATGAGTAGCAAACTACAATGTAATATGTTTCCTTTCGTATGATTTAGATTTATCTTTTTGATTATTTAATCTTCTATAAACTTTATTCTGGAGCCCAGCTTGGTTAATATCTTTTCACTCGTGTGATTTATATTTTCTTTGTATTAATTTTCTTAGTTTCTTTTACGTTGCTATAGAATATTGATGGATCTATACTTCATCCATCTTTCATATTTTCTTAATTCATCACCCTTTAAAATGTAAAAATATTTAGAGAGTTTCGATAAGTCCTATAAAAGTACGTATGTTACTGCATTCTACTTCTACTAATGACTTTTACATGACATTTAAAAAAAATGCCGAACTATAATTGGTATGGTACAAAATATACAAAATAACTGGCCGAACCGAACCATTGACACCCCTACAAATATACATTCGTCTTGGCTTGTGTGCTTGAATGTATTAGAAAAAATAATATATGTATTAGCTTTGGTAGTATTAATCTCTTATTTGGTAGTACTTTTCAACCTATGTATAACTAATACATGTATAATTATACATCATATTCAGTACTATTCTTATACATATCAAATCATGACATTAGTAATACCATAATTGCCTAGATTTATTACATGAACAAGCATGTATAAAGACAAAACTAACCTTTCAAAATATTTTTTAAATTATTTTCAACATTTTAAAGGATATTTTTGTAAACAAATAATTAAAAAAAAATATGCAATGCATGTTATTTTTAATACACCAATCCAAACACCATTACTAATTGTAACATTTCTAATTCTACCATTACTAGTATACCATATCTATCAAACGATCCCTTAGTACAATTTGGAAGGATGTATTGAAATCTTTTGAAAGTAGTATACTCAGCATAATAATTGTGATAATTTATTCCTTTAAAATAATCCCGTTGAAACATAAAGAGTATGAATATACGCATTCCACCAAAACAATTTTTAGGCCAACGATTCTTCAATATAGAATATTCTTTAAATTGCCGACCTCTCACCTATATTGGGAATTAAATGGTGTTTGACCTGGATATCATATTCTAAAATTCATAATGTATAAATTATAATATCCTGCAAAATTTTATGCTGCTTCAATCTTCATCGTGACATCTTTTTACTCTTTCTTTAATGCCTTAATTCATATTATGCACAATGGACGACTAGCTAAGTTTACATTCACAAATATTAAATAAAATTAAAAAAGAAAAAAAGGAGGAGGAGGAGAATGGTTCTTTCAAAAATAGAATTCCTTCCGTCGTTGAAGTTATGTGATTACCCAAATTATCAACTTCTCTTAATACTTAATAAGTTATAGGAGTAATACTTCTTTTAAAACATCAGTCGTTTTATATTGTGAAGCAAGTTTAATACTTTTATGTTAATTCTATTATAATTGAAGAGCGATAACGATGTAAATCAAATAACTATTCCGATCAACCTAAATACTCACTACGTACATCTCTTTGCATATGTATTTTCCTTCAATTTATCGTTTTATTTTATTTCCATTGAATAGAAAATTAAAGTTTAATTTTCCGTAAATCAATTATATTCCTCTATTTAAAAAATAAAATTTATATTTTGAAATAAAGTTATAGTAGCATTAGTCTTGTAAAGGAAAAAAGAAGAAGATATAGTAGTATTAGGAACGAGAAAAACAAATTTTGCATGGTTTGGACTACCGTTTAATGGTACCAAATACTGATCCAAGAATTTATTCTTTACTATCTATAGAAATTTTAATCAAATTAAAATGAATTATGCTATAGCCTATATTTTTTAGAATCCAATTCCAAAGATATTTCCAGAAAGAAAACAAAAGGCAACTCTGTCCAGAAGAAATTACATGGAAAATGGCCAAATCATAAATCATTTCCTGTCGTATTAGCGGACAGGTGTCCTATGATGCCCAGTTAGTTAACATTGGCGGGTACGTTAATGACAACGACTTCCCGTTCCGTCCCGTTATTCAATACTAATAAGAAAAAGATTTATATTTCAGAATTTTAATTATCCATTTACCGAATAAAAGAATTTCACATATTTCGTGTAGTTGAGTGATATTCACTTTATTTTCCACTTTTCACAAATTTTGACCCAATTCTAATGTATTATCCAACTTATTTTTCTCAAATAACTAATTATATTTAATGATGATTGTTATTTCTAATTTATTTTTGAATAACTTGATTGGGTAAAACTATTTATACTATTATATGATAAATAAATTTTTTACCCAGTTCAATCATCAATGCCAAGTCTAATATATTACTGCTTTCATTTTTTATGTGCCGTAATTTGACTTAACATATTATAAGAAAGGAAAAAAACTCTAAAGCTTGTATTTTTAAATATGTCATTACTGGCATCTTAAAAACATACTATTAAGGATAAATAAAAAATTTAATATTACTATTTTTAAATATATAATGACACTTAAGATGGAATAGACATGTACTTATCTTTTCTTCAAAATACCCATTCATATTCACAGTTAACAATTATTTGTGATCGGCTTTTTAGTCACTTTATAATGTAAAAATTAAGTATGATTAAAAGAATAAAAGAATAAATAAAGAGAATATAATAAAAACAAAAAAAAGAAAAAGAATTAACGGAAATTCAACGTCTTTCTCTTGTAATGAACCCCACTATCTTCGCTGTTATGTCAAAACCCCCAAAATTCTCTAGATGTTCGCCATTATCATACCCACAAACACCAAATGGAATCTTCTCGAATCGACGATGAAGACGGCGACCTTTTAGCTTCTACTTCCAATACCTCCAGTCGTCGGAATTTCCACTGTTACAGTGAAAAATTCGCTTTCAACTCTGATTCCGATTCGGACGACGGCGAAAATGTCAGTACACTCGGCGGTTCCGGCCGGAAATTTAGCTTAGACGAGACGGAGCGAACTCCGAAATTATTCGACCGGTTCTACGGCACTTCATCTTCCGATGACGAAGAGTTCAGCTCTGGTTCAGGTCAAAACGGCGCCGCCGTTCGCAAACGACTTGATTATATGATTCAATTCCTCGACCGTAAGCTTTCTTCTGAAACAGCTGCGACTTCTGACGGTAATACTAACGGCAAGAGCCAGTCACAGGGTTTACCTGAGTTTGTAGGTAAAGGTGGCGGTACCGGCATTTTCAAGTTGCCGGTGCGTGCCGCAGTGCATCCTGATCGGCCGCCGTCATTGGAATTACGGCCGCATCCGTTGAGAGAAAGGCAAATCGGGCGATTTTTGAGGACTGTACTGTGTAATGGATCTCAGCTATGGGCTGGGTCGGAGTGTGGAGTTCGGGTATGGAATTTTTCAGATATATATGATGCTGCTTCTGAAGAAGAAGATGAAAATGAGGACTTTGAGGATGCTGCACCTTTTGTGGAGTCTGTTAGCGTTTCACCAACGTTTTGCCTTGTTAAAGATGCTGGGAATAGGTTGATGTGGAGTGGACATAAAGATGGTAAAATCAGGTGTTGGAAAATGGACAGTGAAATTAGCAGTAGAGAGAAAGGTGCTGCTTGTGGAAGAGCTACTTTGAAAGAAGTGCTGACGTGGCAGGCTCATCGCGGTCCAGTTCTTTCCATGATCATGACTTCCTATGGTAAAAGTTTGAGTCTTTCGTAATACCTTTCTCTGTAATTGCATCCACTGTTCATTCTTATGTGTTGTGTCAACATGCAAGTTCTCCTTCCAATTTTTGTGGCGGTGTTTTTCTGAGCACAGGGTTTTAAGAAAAAGGAAAGACTTTTGAAACTTGTACTCTAAAATGAGCCGTAGACGTTTGTGTTGCTAGAAATCATCTCATTAGGGGAAATGAGAATTTTAAAGTTACATTTTTTCTAAATAAGTATGACATTCGTTGTGGGATAGACTAAAAGGAAAGTATCATATAAAATGGGATAGAGGGACTAGGGAGTAGTTTTTTTTATTTACTATATTGCATTTTGAGCACTTTAAAAACTAAATTTACTAATGTAAGCCTTTGAATTTGCTTGATCATCTTATATAAGCTAGTATTAAAATCATTTGTGTTCGTTTTCTTCTATGATGTAGTAAATAGACAGCTGGTTAGGCAAGCTAGGGGGAACAAAACGTAATTGCACTATTTTTGGAGGTCAAAGTGAGTTTGGATATCACTTAGATAAACAAAAACTATGCATCAATTCCAAACAAGTTGGGATAGGCTATGCAAATCCTCACTGACCACGTTTATCCAATTAAGTTCATCTCAGGCCAACATTGTACAAAATAACAATAAAAAGTACTAAAAGTTCTCTAATATTTTTAATTATCTATACTAGAAGTAAAAACTCTTAGAAAACATAGGACCTAAAGTAAATGTACTTAGCACCCAATGATATAGCGTAGTAGTCAATGAGTGGGCAAGAGCCATGAGGTTTCAAATTCAAATTCCAGCGGAGGTAAAAGCACTGGTGATTTCTTCCCATTTGTTCAAGCTTTAGTGGATAGAGTTACGTGGTACCTGTTGCTGGTGGGAGGTAGCAGGTATCCTGTAGAATTAGTCGAGGTGCGCGCAAGCTGGCCCTGATACCACGGTTATAAAAAAGACTAACGTACTAACATAACTAAAACATTTTTCTTAACTAATTGATAGGGCCTATATAGAAGAAATGAACCTCAGACCTAACTCAACCCCAAAAGCTAGCTCATGAGGAGATGATTGGCCATGACTTGCTATCATGATGGTTTTTTATTTGTTGAAAGTTTCTAACAACCAACTCTGAAATTGCCACTTGAAAGAAAAAAAAAGTAGCTCTGAGATTGTTGCCTTTTTTCTGGAACCATAAATAGCATTTGGATGGATCTCTGTGGCATTCTTAACTTGCACTGTGATGCATTGATAGCCAAAGTGGCCTTCTTGGTTTCTACTTTCTTTTTGATGAGTAAAATTAGTTACATTAAAACTGGACTGATAAAATACCAGTGTTACTATAAACGAAAAGGCAAATGTTAGTGGGAGTAACTGAAGAGAGTGTGCTTAATTCTGATCTGATGAGCAATTTCATTTAGGCGATCTATGGTCTGGATCTGAGGGTGGTTCCATCAAGATCTGGCCGTGGGAAGGAATTGAGAAATCGCTTCCACTGATAGAGGAGGAAAGGCACATGGCTGCTTTGTCTATAGAGAGGTCATACGTGGATCTGAAGAGCCAATTTATACAAAATGGCACATGCAATAGCATATTTTCTGTCGATGTCAAATATATGATCTCTGATCGCTCTGGAGCAAAAGTTTGGACTGCTGGTTATGTGTCATTTGCACTTTGGTGAGTACCTTCAGAATCATTTTACAAACAAATGTCTTCATTTATATTGTCTTGTTGCTTGCTTGTTTTGCGTTGTTGCTACCATTTATTTCTGAAACTTAATGTTACAATGAACAAGCGCAATAATGTTATGTTAAACCACACTTAAAAATTCTATAAATGCTCAATCATTCATCACTACATACATGTTTTTGATTGAAGAATGGATGTGCTAGTCTTGAACTTCCGCCATATTGTTTCCTTGGTTCTTGTGTTTTTTATATTTAAAGTTGTGATGCATATATTATATTATATTTGCACATCCCTAAGGTTTTTCACTGCCAGATTTTCTGGTTGTTTCGAAATGAAATCTAACTATTCAGGTCATCTGGTTCTGATTATGTTGATTGTTTCTTATCAATTGCTTTTGACTTTCAGGGATGCGCGGACGAGAGATTTATTGAAAACTTTCAACACAGATGGTCAGGTTGAAAATACACTAGCAGCACAAGATCCTGTTATTGAAGATGAAATGAGGATGAAAATAGTGTCCAGTTCGAAAAAGGACAAGTCTCAAAGTTCTATCAGCTTCTTTCAGCGTTCACGCAATGCTATCTTGGGAGCAGCTGATGCTGTTCGTAGGGCTGCGACTAAAGGAGGATTTGGAGAAGAGAATCGGAGAACTGAAGCATTGATCATTACGGCTGATGGAATGATTTGGAGTGGCTGTGCAAATGGATTACTTGTCCAATGGGATATAAACGGCAATCGGTTGCAAGAAATCCAGTATCACGCATTCTCTGTTCAATGCTTGTGCACATATGGGTTACGGATTTGGGTGGGTTATGCTAGTGGTTATATTCAGGTGTTGGATCTTAATGGTAATCTACTTGGAGGATGGATGGCTCATAGTAGTCCTGTAATAGATTTGTCAGTGGGTGGAGGTTATGTTTTCACTTTGGCTAATCATGGAGGTATACGAGGTTGGAGTGTGATATCTCCTGCACCAGTGGATGGTATTTTGCGCTCAGAGTTAGCTAGCAAGGAATTTTTGTATACTAGGCTAGAGAATTTAAAAATATTGGCTGGTACATGGAATGTTGGTCAAGGAAGAGCTTCTCCTGATTCACTTATATCATGGCTAGTTTCTGCAGCAGCAGATGTTGGCATCATTGTTGTTGGCTTGCAGGAGGTAGATATGGGCGCTGGTTTTCTTGCTATGGCTGCTGCTAAAGAAACAGTAAGATTCCTTCCTTTTTCCCCTTTTCTCTCCAACCCCAGCTTACTCTCTTCGGTCTCTAGACTGGTGTTGCTTTCTTCTCTCAGAAATGTCTAGATGAATTTTTTTTTAAATTGGCCAGCGTCTAAGTGGAGAAGAGTCCTCAAAATACTAGTCACATGTGGAAGTGCTTCTAACACCCAAAAATAATTTTGTTATTATCGCATCCAAGACCCAAAAATAATTTTGTTATTATCCAAGCACCATATAGTCTCTAAGGACCACCAAACCTCCCTCCCCCCCCCCCCCC